GTAAAAAGTCTACCCATCTATTTATTCAAGCAATTAGTGTTTTGCTTTACCTACTGTGTACCAGATGCTATGTGGGATGTTACAGTAAAGAAGGCCACATGCCACATGCAGGGCATTTGCATTCTAATGGCAGGAGGCCCAAAGAGCTTGTGGAAAGCATCTGTCGCACAGAGGATACGAACAGCATATAATCATAGAATACCTTAGCAGCATATAATCATAGAATACCTTAGCAGCATATGAGCAGATGAACAATGGCATCTAAACACGGAAATGAAAGCAGGTATGCAAGAACTTAAAATGTGGCAAAGATGGAGCAAAGAAACTGGAGAGAAAGGTCTCTAAGTTGTGAGGAATGGAAAGCCCTGATAGAAGAGCACAGGTAACAAGTTTTCTAGGCAATAGTCACTTCCTCCAGCCACCCGGCATCTGTGTCACACCTGTATTTATTACTGTAGTTCACTCTCTGATATGCTTTGCATACTGTCTTTTTGGTTTTTTTTCTAAAATTATTTTTTGGGGGGTCTGTTCATCTTGCTGCTTTCAATTTCTTTATCACCTACCTTAAAGCAACTGGAATCTGGCTTTGAGAATGCTCAACCTTAAACCTGCTTTCTATCATCTTTTCTGGTGACCTCTGCTCCATTTCCAGCCCCCATCTTATCTTACTGGCACCTTTAATATACTTGATGAAACCCTCCTGTTTGAAACCCTCTGTTTTGCCGGTGATTTTCTTCCTGTTTTTCACACGTTCACTACTAGTGATGTGTCACTTAAATGCTACATTGACATGGCAGACTGTATAACTGTTTTCCTTTAAAGGTTGCCTTTCCAGTGCAGTGACTATGTGCCTTCTGATGAGGTCAGGGTCGGTTATGTGATGTACATGTGGGCACAGCTGGGCGTGATGAATTTCTGAGACATCTCTTAGTCCACTTTCAGCTGTGAAAACAATGATCACGGCTGAGTTTCTCATAAGCAAAAAAAAATATTATTTAGTTCAAAAGTCTGGAAGATCAAGAGCCCAGCACCAAGAGCTGGCTGTGTGGTGGTACATGCCTATATTCCCAATACCCAGGAGGCTGAGGTAGGAAGGTTGTCATGACTGACATGCATTTGAGACTAGCCTGACTACAGAGTAAGTTCCAGGCCAGCAAGAGCTATATAGCTAGATCATGAAAAACAAAAAGGGAAGGAAGGAAGGAAGGAAGGAAGGAAGGAAGGAAGGAAGGAAGGAAGGAAGGAAGGAAGGAAGGAAAATAGGAGTCCTCTAGGTGTCCAGGTAGGGGAGCAAACCCACAATGAAATGAGAATGAAAACCCAGTTTGGATATGTCTACCTGGATCAGACAGACATTAGGGAGTCTAGTGCCAGGTAGTTCATTGTCAGCATATTTAAAACAGTACAATTTGGGAAAAGGTTTCCAGGCAACAATCAGTCCAATCCAGGTGCACAATAAAGCTTAAGGTGTGACAACATAGAAACTTCTTTACAAAGTACATTCGACCGTGAGGATGGGTTCTACAGCTAAAATGCCTGGCTTCTAGTATGGTCTCTGAATGAGAAAGCATAGAGGTCAGCCGGCCATAAAGTACATGTGACATCTCCCATAAGGATGAGTGATGGTCCACGGAGGGGAGGGTCTGGAATGATCATTCTAAGGCATCTGGGTGAGGTCTATCTCCACAGATATCAGAAAGGTCACCAGGTCCTTAACAAAATCCACTCCCTGCCTTCTGGATGGGAAAACAGGTATTTATTTCCTTCAGTGTGAAGAGGACCATTTGTTTAACATTCACGGCTTTTCTAGTGATCTGTGGGTGCAAGGACCTTTGTGTCCCCACCATCCTGTTTGAGAAGATTTTAAAAAATGCAAAAGGGAGAGCATGGCAGGACTGGCAATAGCAGCACCAGCAGCTGCTTAGCTCTGGGGAGGGCCTCATAGCTGATACTATAAAAATAGTGGGAATATGTGAGAGTGATCCTATGGAGAAGCATGAAGTAAGAGAGATTTAGAGGCTAGGCATGTTCTATTTTGTATGAATGTATGTATGAATTTATGTATGTGTGTGTATGTATCTCAAAGTACTCTCTTTGGTACAAACCAGATCCATAAAGAACTACATCATCACCTGAGAGTAATACCTATCCAGTGACCCAACTGTGTATGGTTAGATGACCCCCCCCCCTTAAAGGTTCCACTACTTCTCAACACTGCCTTTCTGCAGATCAATTCTGTCCCATGATTGTGACATATACAAACTATAGCAGGCCATATATAAACTATAGCAGTGCTTAGTTATCATCACCTCATTCACTATGGTTGTTTTTTTTTCCTTTATATAAACACTGTCCTCGTTATGGTTACCCTTGCTGCGGTGAAACACCATGATCACAGTAACTTGGAGAGGAAAAGGTTTATTTGGTGTGTGTTTCATCATTTCTGTTCGTCATTGAGGGATGTCAGGACGAGAACTCCAACAGGATCCTGGAGGCAGGAGCTGATGCAGAGGCCATGGTGGAGTGCTGCTTACTGGCTCGCTCCACACGGCTTGCTCAGCCTGCTTTCTTATAGAACCCAGGACCACCTCCCTATAGCGGGGCGGGCCTCCCTGACATCAATCTCTAATTAAGAAAATGTACTACAGGCCTGCCTACAGCCAGAACTTATGGAGGCACTTTCTCACCTGAGGCTCCTCTGTTAGGATAAAGTGGCAAAAAGGTACCTTGGCTGGCTGGAGCCAATTAATGCCATAAGCAACAGCTGTAGGGGAATAGTTTATTGAGGGAAGGGTGGGGGAGAGTGAAAGCCCATCTTGGAATGTGGACATGAGAGAGCAATACAGACAGACAGACAGACAGAGAATGAACAGAGGGAACAAGAAGGAGAGAAGCAGTGGGAGGTGGCATAGATTCTGCTGCTGAGTCACTGAAAGGCAGGTTGCTGGAGCACCTATTTACTAGCCAGCACAAAAAGCATCCC